AAAAGGTAGACCTAGATATTATCTGCCTAGTTGTAATTCATCGGGCCCTGATCACTATTTTTCCGCGAGACATGATTTCACCTCATTTCACAGAGACCTCATTTTACCTTATTTCACCCAGACCTAATTTCCCCTCGTTTCACCTAAACATGATTTCACCTTATTTCACTGAGACTTAATTTCACCTCCTTTCATCGAGCTATGATCACCACATTTCACCTAGACCTGATTTCACATCAATTCACCGATACCTGATAACCTCATTTCACCGAGACCTGATTTCACCATATGTCACCTAGAATTGGTTTCACTCGATTCACCGAGCCCTGGTCACATCATTTCACCGAGACCTGATTTCGCCTCATTTCACTGAGCTTTGATCACTTTATTTCACCGAGATCTGATTTCACTTTATTTCACCTACACTTGATTTCACCTCATTTCACCTAGACCTGATTTCACCTCATTTCACCTTGACCTGATTTCACCTACACTTGATTTCACCTCATTTCACCTTGACCTGATTTCACCTAGAAGGACTTCCAAACATGAATGTTAGAAGAGTTTCAGAAGTGGTGTGGGCAGTGTAAGTGGTCACGTCTGTTTTGAACTAGTAAAGTGTTAGAAGGGTCAGCAGCGAGACCCAGAATATTAGAACCTACACAGTGACTATACAATGTCTGCAACACAGTGTTCAGTTAGTTGCGTAACCTTTGCAGGACGTTGGAGAACGAACGAACGATCTTTATTTTTTAAAGGGTCAGAAATTGGGCACGCAGGCCCGTCTTACATTCGGCCCTTCCACCCAACCATCTTTCGCACAGCAGTTGTATTTTACTAATAATGCATGTTATGATCATATGATCTTATGCATATTATTAATATTATAAAAGAACATAAAAACATGAGTTGTAAAGTGCATGCAAAAACCCGCGCGTGCATACATACACCCACATACACACGCTCACCCGCTCACTTACACACACATACATGCATGCATACATTACATACATACATACATACATACATACATACATACATACATACATACATACATACATACATACATACATACATACATACATACATACATACATACATACATACATACATACATACATACATACATACATACATACATACATACATACATACATACATACATACATACATACATACATACATACATACATACATACATACATACATACATACATACATACATACATACATACATACATACATACATACATACATACATACATACATACATACATACATACATACATACATACATACATACATACATACATACATACATACATACATACATACATACATACATACATACATACATACATACATACATACACACATACATACATACACACACACACACATACATACATACACACACACACACACACACACACACACACACACACACACACACACACACACACACACACACACACACATACATACATACATACATACATACATACATACATACATACATACATACATACATACATACATACATACATACATACATACATACATACATACATACATACATACATACATACATACATACATACATACATACATACATACATACATACATACATACATACATACATACATACATACATACATACATACATACATACATACATACATACATACATACATACATACATACATACATACATACATACATACATACATACATACATACATACATACATACATACATACATACATACATACATACATACATACATACATACATACATACATACATACACACACACACACACACACACACACACACACACACACACACACACACACACACACACACACACACACACATACATACATACATACATACATACATACATACATACATACATACATACATACATACATACATACATACATACATACATACATACATACATACATACATACATACATACATACATACATACATACATACATACATACATACATACATACATACATACATACATACATACATACATACATACATACATACATACATACATACATACATACATACATACATACATACATACATACATACATACATACATACATACATACATACATACATACATACATACATACATACATACATACATACATACATACATACATACATACATACATACATACATACATACATACATACATACATACATACATACATACATACATACATACATACATACATACATACATACATACATACATACATACATACATACATACATACATACATACATACATACATACATACATACATACATACATACATACATACATACATACATACATACATACATACATACATACATACATACATACATACATACATACGTAGTACAGGCATACATACATACAGTCATAAATACAATCATGCATCGAGACACACACATGCACACACGGACACTCCCACAGAGACACACACACTCAGACAAAAATACAGACACACACACAGACACTTACATATAAACACACACAGGGAAACACACAGCACACACATTTACATTCGTGCTCACACACTGACACACACACCACACACACACATATGCAGACAAACATGCAGACACATAGACACACACGCAGTCAAACACACACACACACACACACACAGGCAGACAAACACATACTGACACCCACAGAGACAAACACGCAAAAATGCATACACATACAAACACATAGAAATACACACGCAGACACACATATTCAGCACGCACAGACATATACTCTGACATGCAGACACATACATTCAACAAAGGGGCACACACAATACGCACAGAGAAACACACATAGACATGCACCGACAGACAGACACATGCTGACACATACACTTACGCAGACAGACATACAGACACCCACACACAGAGATACATACATACATACAACCTCATAGACACACCCGCAGACAAAACACATAAACATACACAGGCAAACACGAAGACAAACACATACGGGGACACACACAGACGCAAACGAAGATATACACACAGTCACATCAAATATGCAGAAAAACACAGAGACACACACACAGACACATATACACAGCTACATGTACATGTATCCAATCGCACACACACACACGCACACACGCAGACACACATACACAGCAAAGAGGCACACTTAAACATACAGAAACACACACAGACCAATTCCCACTGAAACATACACATGGACATACGCGCGAACACACACACATTCGCACACATACACAAGGACACAGACGCATACATTTGCAGATACACACGCAGATACACAAGCAGGCAAACAACATACTCAGAGTCATTTGTATACAAATACGCCTACACATACATACATATCACTCACACGCGCGCGAGCAAACATACATATCATACTCACCTTGTTTAATAATAAATTGATAATGCAATATGGGTTACATTACGTTCAAGGTGGCATATAGTATGAATTGAAAAAGTTTACGGTTAAATTAATAATGACTTTTAGACTTTTTCAGGTCTAGTGGAAGTTGGTTCCACAAATGAGAAGCGGAGTACGCTAAACTTGTTTTATATAAATCTATTCTAGGTTTAGGTAAATGTAATAAATTTGGTCGCTTACTATTTATAGGATTTGATTTAATTAATCGGAAAAGGTAGTTTGGAGTATTTTGAGACAAAATTTTATGAATAAATTTGGCCTTGTTAAAAATTAAACGTTTGCTAAATGGCAATAGTCTAAGATGGTTATAGAGATTATTTTTTTACGATATGTTTATTATCTGAAACCATGCGTAAAAAACAATTTTGAAGAGAACTTAGTCTTTTAACATTGGATTTGGCGCAACCATCCCAAACTGTGGAACAATAGTCGACATGTGTTTGGATGTAAGACGCGTAAAATGCTTTTCTTGCATCTTCGTCTAGAAAGTGCTGAATTTTTGCAAGCTGATAGACTTTTTGTGTTATTTTCTTGGTTTTCACAGAAACACGAGAATCCAACTCCAGCTATTTTGGCTGTTTGCGTAAAACAGTGTTAGATAGACTTGAGAATATTTGAGAATATTTTAAGTCAAGAACGAAAGGACAATATAGTAATTTGTACAGACGGCCTGAATGCCAAGATGGGATCCTATGACCCAGATTTCAATATGATAGAATCACACGGACTAGGGGCAACTAAAGAAAATGGAGAATTATTCACCAATTGTTGTGCAGGAAACCAATATGTTGTTGGCGAAAGCACTTGTTCACATTAACACACACATAACCACGCTCACACACACACACACACATGCACGAACGCACATACACACACACACACACACACACACGTACACACACACACGCACACACACAAGGCAACATAGACATCACCAGACCAACAGAACAACAATACGGATCATCCGTGCACGATGTTATGGCAGTCAGTTGCTGATATATTGACTGACCCCTATCTATTAGTCGGTCAAATAAAGCTGAAACTTGAAGGGATCACAAGATCTCACAATCATCGTAACCCATATATAATAGAATATATAAACAGCGGAGGTGTATGAAGCTGCCCCATAAATCTATCGATGAGAATTGTTCCAATATTTGTAATCCGGTCACTTCTCAGACGATCTTTTCTGCTTTTGTTCGTCGCCTTTCTTCAACATCACTGTTTCTCTGTGGGGGTGTCATGCTCCCATTTTGTAGGGGGTGGGGAGAGGGGGGGGGGCTGACTAGCAGCACACTGCAAGCATGTCGTCAAACGCTATCAATTATGATTTTGCTAAAAATAAAATGTTTTTACTGAATGGGAGGGTTAATACAGTCTAGGTATAAACTGCAACTGGCAGGCCAACTTTCTTTCTGAGGGTCAACCAAGAATAAGGAACCTAAGCATTTTATGTATCTTGCGGTTAGTCTTTTTTTTTTTTGGTGTGTGTTCGTTGGTCATAATCCGACATTAGTAACCTAAATCTCAGTTTAACACTTGTCCAGATTGAACTGAGGAACTCCCGACCCTGAAAGTCCAAGAATCTCTTTCAGTTTGTCTCTGAAGCGACGGTTGAGGGAAACATAGACAAAAAAGTTGACTGACGCATTCACGGCGTAGAGGAGAAACAGCGAGTACATACTGGCAGCATAGGAGTCCCTATAGTCGCCGGCATAGGAGAAGCCGGGCACGAAATGTTTACAGTAAATAAACACAACAGTGGGCGTGTTGCAGGCGATGAATATACTAGATATACAACACACCACGGTCACAAGTCTTTTGTACTTGGGAGAGGATGCATGGTTGCTGTGATGGCCAGAGGAAATATTGGTGGACTTTCTCTGAAAGTTTGATGACCGCTTGAGACCAATCACCATGACAACGGTGTTGACGAAGACAGTTAGCTCACAAAATGATGGGAGTACAATCGTGTTGGAGATATTATGAATCGTTTCAACTGTCATTCTTTCTTTGGAGAGGGACACCGTCAGTCTGCTGTTGTTGAAACGTTGGTCGTAGGTAAAGTTCAAGGTCGATGTGGAGAAGAGAGCTGTGTAACTGACCCCGACCAGGATCCACAAACTTCCCAGGAAGGTCAGTGTCCTCTTGACCGAGAAGAGAGACTGGACGTGGAGCGGCATGACGATGCACAGACATCGCTCCAGCGATACAAGGACAGTGGTCAAGCTAGAGATGTCCGAGAACATGGCGATACTCCAAGCGACAATGTAGTACTGGACAGCAGGAAAATCGACTGTACTCGTTGGCAGTGCTGTCTGGAAGATGCTGAATAGGTCGAATATAAGACAGGTGAGTACAATCAGGAAGTCAGTGATTGACAGTGACAGTAATGTCAGCGTGACGTTGTTGGTTCTCCAGTCCTGTCTCAGAAAGACTGTAATGTTAGCCAGGTTGAGGACAACACCAGCCGTACTGAGTAAGATATTGAGTGGGGTTATGAACTCCATCACTGTCGTGTCCTGGCTTCTACGATTATATTGAGTGTATGACAAAGGGACACAACCGTGTGATCTCACTATTTTCTACTACCAATTATGGCGAAATCGGAAATTAAAGTTTTAATAACTATTTAAATTGTTTTACTTTACAACGAAATAAAACTGAAAAATATTACAGATTTTGCAGTCCAATGTTTTCGTTCAACTGGAAAACCAAATCGAATTTCAGGAACATAATCAGATATTAAATGATGACGTGCAGTGCAGATTTTGTTTTGTTGTTCTGTGGCTTAGAGATAATGTTTGTGCCTTTCACAATCTTCGACATACTAAATTTTAGATTCAATAGTAGGAGGGGGGTGGGTGTATGATTAGAAGATTTTGTTGCATCCTGACAGTGGTAGGAGAGGTGCACTGTGGAAAAGATAGGGCCTCACCAGGCAGTATTATCAACGCTCTGTCTATATGCCCGATGCGCCGAAAGGCGTGAAAAGGGAACTTTACTTACATTCCGAGATCATGCGTTCGTGAATTCTTTGAGGCGTATGCGATAGTTACCTGTAAAAATAAGATTTATAACCGTTTTAATTAGTTAGTTTCGATAATGGATAAACTGATCCTAGACTTCCTCTGAAACAAACAGAAAACATCTTACAAAATAACTGTAGAAGCTTCCTGTCGGGGCGTTTGCAGACACATTTGTCTTCTGTTCAGCGGGAAAATGACGAGATCACAAACACTGAGGTATTGGGGAGAGCGGGTATCGCAACAATTTTCTCAAAGCTCAGTCTTCGAAGGCTCTGGTGGCTGGGCCACACCTGGAGAATGGAGGATGGTAGAGTCCCCAAGGTCATTCTCTAATTGGTGAATTGAAGAGTGCTAAAAGATGTCGAGGGGGGCAGCTAGAACAATTTAAAGATGTGGGCAAGAGGGACATGAATGATACGGTTTTGAGGTAGATTCTTGGGAACGAAATTTCCCGTGTGGGTTGCAGGGATATTGAAAGAAAACAAAAAAGACCCACTGCTTAGCCAAAAGCATGTCGTAAGAGTTGGCTAACTGGTACGTTCCTTTAGAGTCGGAGTGCATCTGCCGGAGTGGCAAGGAACCACCAGTCTTTATTCAAATGAGTCAGTCCTGTGCAACGATGGTTCACGCAACATTTAGGTTTTGAAACAGGACTAGAGTCCAGAAGTGGACGAACTAACAGAACTTTTCGCTGGAGTTTACAGAGAGTAAATGTGAAGATGATGACATGTAATGCAATTAGTCGTGTTGTGTAGGGCGGGAAAATCAGAAATGGAATGGAAACAAATGGAAAAAGTGATTGCAGAGAGACTGACACCTGAGAAGAAGCACACTCAGTAGATATGATGGCAACAACGATCTTGAAATCTCGTGCTCTAATTGTAGAAGACTTTTCTTAACTATTACGGACCTTGCTAGTCACACTCGCCATCGCCATGGGTTGTAATTTCCGTGCCTCCACCTAGCAGCATATACTATTGTCGTCTAAAAAGACAGACAGGAGCCATTTCAAGTGGGAATCTCAGAAAAAACAGCAATCTTTGAGAAGGGGGGGGGGGGGGGGTACAACCTTTAAGTGGAGTTTGTGAGCAATTTTAGTTAATATTTGTTTTTAAGACAGCCCTTGAAGGACCAGATTATGAATCCAGATATTAAAGTGAGAGCTAAGATTTGCGTGTAGCACTGTGTTAATTGTAGTAGAAGCAAAAAGCCTTAAGTACCAAGAAAAATTAAAGAATGAGTTCGTTTGGCGGGGACTAGAACTAGAAAAATTCTAGCCCAGACAAGATATCTTCTGGGGACAGTCTAGACAGCAGTAATAAATAAACTAGACACACTAACCACAAGTGATAATCTGACCAAAAACAACTGGAACTATGATTACCACATTTAACATCTGTTTATTTCACTGAACTGAACACAGAATTAACTTATACTTTACAAATAATACATTAACAACAACCAATGTGCTTGACCAGAATCTAAAGTGCTAATCATCTCCACCTAACAAGGAAATATGATAATGACACAATACGCTCAGCGAGATTACATCAACAATGGCAAAAACAGAAAAAATATTTAACAGGTACGTTCAGCTTTTATATGCCCCCAGATCAACAAATAGCGACCTGCCATCGTAGCGAGCGTTCACATCGACATTTCTCTACACAGTTTAACTACTGGAGGCAATTTCAGGGTTAACTATGTAAACATACCACCGCCGCGAAATCGGCCTTCCTCTGCAGTCGCCCGTACCCGCGCTGGCTAGCCCAATGTGCAGAGCCACAACAGCTGGGTAGGTCTACTAAAGGGTCGGTCGGGAAGTCAAAAAGAACCAAATAGTGAGTGAACTGGCCTTCTTATACCAGGTGGCCAGTCTTTTCCGCATTAGAAAACCAAGGTATCCGCCGAACAAACCAAAAATCGTCATGCTGCTGAACAGCAGTCTTTGGCGTTCTCGAGCCTATCACATTATGATACGATTAGTCGACTGGTTGACAACCATAGGATTTTCTGACTGTACTTGTTTGTCCAAGTAGGCCTCAGAGGAAATTCTTTCATTCATGATCATGTTGTGCTATAATGTGTCGCATAGAGCTTGCAGTCTATTCATCCATTCCGTTCTAACCCGTGCAATCAGTTCAACATCATGGATAGAATCCAGTCCAGCATCTTTGGCCTCTCTCATTAACGTTTATCTTAGGGTTTCTCGTTGAGGTCCTCGCCTCCTTAATTTATTTCCTATTCTAACGCCTGTTTATTGATTCTCTACTTGTTTCTTCTCAGGTTGTGTTCTATGTAACACTATCTTCTTTGTCTTATTACTGTTGGTACTAGTGGTTGGTCAGACATTTCTCTTATTTCTTGAGTCCTTTTGAATTTATCCCATTTTATTTTCATTAATTGCCTCAGGCATTTGTTTTCGACTGTATTTAACTTTCATTCTATATCTTTAGTGGTTCTTAAACTTTCACTTACATATGTTAAATGTAAAACAATAATGCAATTGAAAATACGTAACTTGGTTTGAGTTTTATATTTTATTCAAGCTAATAAAATCTGCTGATGCCTTGTCAATACCTGTCCTAATTTCTTTCTTTGTATTTCCTTTAAAATCCAAATTACAAACAAAATACGTAAATTGAACTGTTACTTTAATTACTTTTATCTCTAGTGTTGCATCAGCTTGATCTTCTGTTGGTATCTTCAGTATGTTTATCTTTTCATAACTTATGTATAGTCGAACCTTGGATGTTATGTTTGCTTAATCATCCGTTTTCTGTGCATGTCATTACTGTTTTTACTGAGCCGAACAATTTAGTCAGTGAAATCCAGGTCTTCCAGTTGTAGTGTGGGAGTCTTGACAGTTCCCCATTAACAATACCCCAAAACATATACACCCCAAGCTCACCTGTACACCTATCCACATGTAGACGTCAGTTACCACATACAAGCACTTAGAAACACACACACACACACACAACGCAAATCTATACGCTTACCATCCAACCAACACACACACACACACACACACAACGCAAATATATACGCTTACCATCCAACGAACACACACACACAACGCAAATCTATACGCTTACCATCCAACCAACAGACAAACAAATGCTCATCTTACAAATAATGTAATTTTAAATGTTCAAGTCGTCAGGGTAAACTTCACTGATCTCAGTATCATCCTAGTTAGCTCCGTCACTGTCAGAATTCCGGAAGAAACGCAACGCAAGAACTCTCGAGCTCCATTGACGATCGTCATATCCCCAAACAATTAGATCGTGAATCAAACGACGCAATGCATGAATCGAATCCAAAACATTCATGCCGAGGGTATCAGCCTTGACAGTTTACCTTCGCAGACACCCGACCAAAACAAGAAGAAAAACTACAAAATACACAACATGCCACACACACATACACTCACACACACACACACACACACACACACACACACACACACATCGAATTCCCCTTTCCTTTCTCACTCCTATTTTTTTTTTTTAAACCTCTTTCCGCATATAATGTAGCTGTCTATACCTCTGTGAAAGCATCAATCCGCAGTGTGTTTTTTAAAAGCGGTCTGAACCAAATTCGTTTTACCTGAACCAAATCACAAAAATAAGTTTGATAGAAAGGCAGCTGAAAAAGCGGTTCAGATGACGAGATCTAATTCGAGAAAGCCGAGTCTAAATTCTCGCTAAAGTGTTGGATTATCTGTTTTTCTGTGTGGCACAAACATACAATCCTGACCTACACCTGTGAGGAGTCCTTCAGGGGTGCGCCCTAAACGCTCAGGGTCAAGACCACCTGTGTGTATGGATGCATGTTTGTATTATGTATGCATGAAGATGTAGCCTATGTATGTAAGTATAAATGTGGATGTATTTATGTGTGTGTATGCGTATGTAAGTGCGTGTATGTGTGCATTACATATGTCTGTATGTGTAAAGAATGAAAATGTATGTATGTAAATGTAGCTATGTAAGTATGTGTGTGGTATTTATGTATGTGGATGTATGTAAATATATGTAGCTGTGTGAGTATGTGGGTTTATGTATGTGGTATTTATGCATGTATATGGATGTATGTAAATATATGTAGCTGTGTAAGTATGAGAGTATGTATTATGGATGTGTATGTATGTATAAAAGTGACTGTATGTGTGTGTATGTATGTAAGTATGTATGCATTATCTGGATGTGGGTGTGTGTGTGTATGTATGTTGATTTATGTATGTATATCTAGGTTTGTAAGTGTGTGTATTTATGAATGTATATTGTAATTATGTGGGTGTATGTATGATTGTGTATGTGTGAGTGTATAATGTATGCAAGTTTGTATGTATGCAGGTAAGCATGTATGTTGGTATCTGTATGAGTGATTGTATATGTGTGTACGCATGCTTGTTTGTGTAATGTATGCGGGTGTATGTGTGCATGCTTGTATGTATGTATCTATGTGTGCATGAA